CTGAGAAGGGCGGCTCGCTACCACTCAGCAAGAAAGTCGTCTTGGAGTACACTCACTATGATTCCCGCAGTGGCGGCGAACACCGCACTCACACCCAAAGTATATGCGCCATGTCAACTGTCTCACGCCCGCACCATGGCCAGCCGGGTGACGGGTAGAGCGAGGGACAAAGTCCATACAGGTGTCGGGCATTGTCGAATGCGTTGGTCTTCAGACTGCTCAAATCAGACGCAGCATATAGAATTGAATTGTGAGTGTGGCCTGTTCATCATTATGCTAAGTAAATACTACTGGAATTTTCTGCGTTTCTACAAAAATTGAAAATTTCAAATAATAATTATTTACCCTAGAAATTGCTCCAAAACTTACTTGCACTGCTCTAAAACATAGCATTTGATGGTCCAAAACCAGTCCAACGCTTCTTACCTACGACTTCAAAGCTACTCCAAAAGACTGAAGCCCGCTTTCGCTCCTCATTAGTGAACCCTAAATGAACTTTTCCAACTGAAAAAGACGTATGGTCGTTCAAAAATTCAGCTTAAAGTGCATAAGTATCCAGGTGGAACTTAAAGGGACGACAACTGCCCAAAACATGAAATAAGATTACTGCACGGATGGAAAGATTGTCCCTTATAGTGACACAAACCAACCCTGTTTTTTTCGTGAAAAGTGGATTTTTGTTTTTTATTTCTTCACTGAAAATCGCGAAGAATAGCCTGAGGCGTCTCTGGTGGCGAAAACATTAACTATCATGAATTCTCTGTCACGTGACCACGCATTAATGTGCATGGTCAACAATTTATTGATTAGTACTAAAATGTCGTTTGATTCTTTATAGTAAACGATAATATTTTATACAAGTATACGTATAGGCTTGCGATAGTAGTACGCATTAAAGTGGCGCTGCGCTGCCTTTGCGTGACATATGCACAGTGCCGTTTTCGATTACTTGGCCTGGCGACGCGATACAAATGCAGGGAATCTCTATAGAGCCACACCGTCTCATTGTAACGGCTTGTTATTATCAAAAATAAATGTAAAGCGCAGAATAAAACGTGGTTAAGCATAGTTCCAGAAAATCCTGTGAAATAAGAACAACGACAGCATGCATAAGCCACCAGGAAGGCTAACGGCATCGCTATCAATACTCAGTGTTGCCGGATTAAAATGCACTACCATTAAGAGTGTACTGCTACCATGTTCAGAGCCTTTCATATAAAAAAATACTGCTTATAAATTGACTATATGAGCTCTTGGGATTAACTACTGTAGCTACAATCACTACGAAGGCTAAGCTTTATGTCGCGCAGGAAAAAATTGGATCGAAAAGAGTCAGTTGTCGGTCCCTTCAAGTCACTTCCTCGCGGGGTATTCATGGGCTGTGAGCTGAATATAGCTGAATTATTTAACAGGTAATGTTTTCAGCTGAACTCTTGGATACTCCAGGTTGAAATAGAACTTTTTGTCGCCTGGGTTTTCGTAACCATAGAAACAATGGCAGGAAACCACAACTATGTCCTGTCGGGACGCAAAGCCAGCTTCGTACATGGAGATAACAGGGAAGGCGGAGGGTTGCTACGACGAACCTTAATTCGAATCCCTAAAGGCGAACTCTGGGCACGCCTATGGTCTCCCTGGCATAGGTGTGCGCAGGATTATTCTTCGGGTGGTGAGGGGGGGGGGGCAAAAGTTTGTTGAAGTGCCCCACCCTCCCTCTTATGTCAATGTAGAGGGCTGACTTTGCACCCTCCTCCTCTTCGCTAGGCGGCTGTCCCATTCTCAGTTGGTAGAACATTGGACGCGTTATTCCAAAATCCCAAGTTCGGCGTAAAAGCTTTCGAGAATGTAGTTTTCATACATAGTTTTTGTTTAGGTTGGGGGAAACAAGAGAATGAGCCTTCGAAATCACCCCCCCCCCCCTTTTTTTTAACTAATGACGCTTTTACTTCAAGTACGTTGAAGCTTACTTATCGTCTCCAAAAGCGACATTCTAAAGGCAGATGAAAGGCATCATCTGCTCATTCTTCATAAGGTTCCTAGGGCTTGTAACGTACTGCTGTAAGCAGACTACCTCACAAGATCTAGGAAATTTAGCATGTTCACTAGTGTTTCACCCAGTTTAATGTTCAAATACTTTTAAAGGCATACATTTATTGAAAGACATTATAAATATACTACGCCCCGCCACGGTGTTTTAGTAACTATAAGGTACTCGGCTGCTGACCAGCAGGTCGCGGTATCGAATCCCGGCTGCAGCGGTGACATTTTTGATGGAGGCGATAATGCTGTAGGCCCGTGTGCTCATATTTAGGTGCGCGTTAAAGAACCCCAGGTGGCTGAAATTTCCAGAGCCCTCCACTCCACTACGGTGTCTTTCATAATCATATGGTGGTTTTGGGATGTCAAACCCCACATATCAATCAATCCATTTTACTACCCACACTGCCTCGGTGTCCCGTCGATAAAAAAAAATTCAATGTCCCCAAAAAGTATGATATGTTTATGAAAGACGTCATAGCGCAGGGCTCTGGAAAATTTTGACCACATGGGGTTCCTAACGAACGCTTATATCAAATGTATAGGCACATGGACCTCAAGTATACTTCCACCTCCATCAAAAATGCGGCCGGGATTCGACCTCGCGACCTGCGGGTGAGCAATCGAGCTCCCCAACCATTGTACCACCTTGGCGGGTAGTGAGCGAGGTGGTACGTGTCCATAGTGAAAAATGGCGCGAAGTAGACACGAACAAGAATGCACACAGGACCAGTGCTTACTGCATCGTTTATTGAAAGGGGAAATATGGGGGATGGGGAACATATCTGTCTTCTGGTGGCGCATAAATTTGTAAGTAATCTTTTATGACTTAACAATGATGTGCCGCTGTACGTTGGCGCCACCAGGATATTTCATCTGCCTTATGTTCCCCTTCCCCGAGCTTTCCGTTTTAATACATCTGTCACTGTGGTTTATCAACTGGTGTGGTCACGCGCACGTCTTTACTATAGGATTCTTGCATGTATATTTAATTATATACAAGCAGCGCACATTAATGCAGCTGGTCGTCCATACTGTGATTGCGTTGTTACCGATGATGAATACGTCAATGAAACGTGGCGCCCTCTTTCAAGGTAGCGCGCGCACTTTTTCACTGCTGTTGCCTGCCTTACCACTTGTATACACCGCCTAATTTAATACTGCTGCTGGTATCGTCACCTTTCTTCGGTAAGAGAGTAGCCTCGTTGCTGATGGGACCTCAAGATGCATATGGTGGGGGGATAGCTGGTAAGGTTCGAAAAATATAAAAGTACGCCTACGTGCAGGGCACAAGAAGAAAGACGGGGACGGGACCAGTGCAGGTCCCGTTCACGCGCTGGTACCGTCCACATCTTTTTCTGTCTTGTATGTAGGCGTATTTTTGTTTTCCATGGCTGATGTGACATAAGCGCAACAATTAATCGATTAAAATTTGGTGGTTTGCAATATAGTCCTTGAATCGATGGATAAAAACTTTGGGGCTCCCCCCCTCCTCTCCTAAATTTTTGTTAAGTTTTGCTTGCATATATATACCTGCACTGGTACAAACGCATGCACATACATAAAGAATGGTTACACACCTCGTCCTCTTGAAAACCTTGTTGGCTACGCTTCTGCGTTCAATAGTTGTGTGAAAACGAGATCACCCGTAGGGCACCAACGGGAATGGGGAAAAGATGAGAACACTCTCTCAAACAAACTTCTGAAGCCAAACGGGTTATATTTTCACACGCAAGCTCAGCAAGCACAATATTCCAAAACCGCATATATCTCGGACATATGCACTGCAACATACAAAACATTATGCTTCTATTTGACGCCATCACCGGTACTGCACAGGTTTCCTTCGCAGAGTACAGCGTCACTCATAGTGAAGTTTGCGAAGGTGATGCACCAAACCTAAACTGCTCTACTAAGACGCAATAGCGCATGGAGCCCCATTGCGATTTCGCTGTATAGGAACTCCTCTTTCCCAATGCCTATTACTCTCAGTGATATCGGTGCTTTAGTTTCTTTGTGTGCCAGGCGTGGTACACCAGTGTTGACGCTAAACCAAAGCATAAATATATACAGCACACTGTCTAGCACCTTCTAACACATCACTGGACCGGCTGCTGAAAAGTTACTTCGTACGAAGGCTGATGAGCATAACGCTGGTTTCACAGCCTTGGCGAGCGTTACGTGCCAATACCGCAAGTGCATGGCCTCTTCCTGGAATTCATTTTTAAGGTCACTGCAAGGAGTCTTCGTCAAAGAGATTTTGTCAAGATTAAGAGACTAAGACTATAGGCATCATTTTTTAGAGATCTACCACCACCACCTGAATACAGGTGGTTACGAATCCGCTCCGGCCAAAGTTAACGCCCACTTGAACATAATCTGTGAAATTTATGCTGTAACGGTGTCGTATCTGTGTGTTGCACGCCTTCATGTGCATACCTGTACTGTCTCATATGCATGTACACTTACAACGGTGACTAAACGGTAAAACGGCGTTTGCGAGTCTGAAATGTCTCTCACATACACCGCCAAACATGACGTATACAGTCTCTATACAAGGGTGAGGAACTGGTGCTGCCAGGTGGTTTCGTGTCCGCAATCACAGTTCCAACGTTGATGCCACGGGTGTTAAGAAGCACCACACTGCAATGGCGAAGTGTTCGAGGATCAATGAAAAATATCGGCTCTGTAAAAGCACGCACGCGTAACATATACAACATTCACCATGCATGCGTTAATTGGGCGATTCTAGGCAGCCATCACAGTCTTTGGCATGGCACAGCTGGCGTGTGACTTCTCCGTAAAACTCACGTAGGGGCCTTTGTAGTATGAAGTGTCGATCGTGGGTTGAAGGCCTTCTAGATTGTTCAAGGAGACGGCTAGCATAATACGAACGTTTGTTGATGTGCAAACATCGTTCTAGCTACACCACTGCCTATACACATCAGAGATTTGTAGCAAGATGCTTCATTGCAAGCGCCCTTCACGCATTAACACATTCAACGACAGGGCACTGTACTTCAAGGTGGCCACTCCAGGTCCCGGCCAATAATGTTGTACAGGCGCTGATTGTGCGGTGCGTAGAAATCACGTAGCCGCCTCTCGAGGACGGGATCGATCTTGGGGTGAGGGCGGCCCTTGGAGGGGTCCAGACAGTGGGGCGTCGCGCCAGGTTCCCGAAGGAGGCAGGGGAATCCCTTGGTGCTGTTGAAAACGAGATGCTGGGCCCCGACCCAGGGCGGCCTGAGGCCCAGGAAGCGCTGAAGCGAGGCCAGTTCTCGCTCGGGCTGCGCCACCAGCCTCTCGCCGCTGACGAAGTGGAAGCTGGAGCGGGGGAAGTACTCCAGCCAGCGAGCCACATGCTCATCGTACAGGCCGACTCGAACCAGCGGCTTGCTTCGGTCAACCTGAAGCGAGACAACGAATGTTATCCACTTTGAGTGACCTCGTGAATATTGCTTCTGATACGCTACCAGTGCTATGTCCTGCGCGATGACAGCTACTCGCACAAAGCATTGTTGACCTGGACTCTGAGCGGCTACCTAATGGCACTTAAGTTTTCCTGTCTGTTACAATTTTGTGCCAGTGTATCTGTACGCATATCCAAATGTTGCTGAGCCACGCCGACAGACATATGTTATCATTTACCTGTAACACAGGGGGCACTTCTGTGAAATAAGGGACATACAGCGGTAAAACATTCATACAAGGTTACACAATACGAGGTATCGTTGTATCACTTTTGTGGCAAGCTTCCCTTGCGGAAAGGCTGCTTAACGTGACTTGAGCTCTGCAAGGGCTCAATGCTCTCTAGAGACCCGGGTGCGAACGTGAATGTGCCTTGTGCGAACAAATATACTATCACAAAAATTTTTTTGAGTCTACGTAATAATTGACTTAAGATTGAATGAAGAGAGTGAATATTCAACGTCAGCCAACAAACAGTGAGGAGCGAGCCAATATTTATCTTCATTT